GTTCGCTAGACAAAGATAGTATAGTATAATATCGTCTCCGCATGGATTGGATTTAAACAATGTTCAAGTAATTTCTAGCTTAACGCTATTCAGGATGATTAACACTTTGGTTGGGATGATTAATAACTAAAATTAATTATGAAACTAAAACAATTAACAAGTGGTCATAGAAAGACAAGAGTTGAGCAATACCGAAATATCAATGGGAGAAATAAGGGTCATGACAAGATATGTGCAAGATAGCTATTTGGGATTTAACTCTAGTTCAATTCACTCTAATGCTCTAATGATTCTCACGAATTCACTCGATGATTAGTTCAAACGTGTAGCCAAGACTCCTCTCTCAATTAAATCTTAACTCTACGAGGTGAACTAATATAAATCATTGTGAAAATATGCAAGCATGTGTTAATGGATTAGTCTTCAGGAAAGCGTCTCTCGAATATGCTCCTAACTTGATTTAATCAACGATTCAACAAACTCTTTCGATTACTTAAAAGAATCACTGAATTAAATCAAATAAAATAATTCAAAGATAATCACCAAAATATTCCTCTTTCAATTAAATAAACCGGTGAATAAAGTTGCAATCAATTCAAATCTCCATAAACGAATTCAAGCAAAGAACTAGAGTTAAAATCCATAAATATCAATCAAAATACCATATCCGTCAAACCCTAAGGTAAACTACTCCATAATCACGGAGAAAGTCATCACAGATAAAGTTGAATAATAAGAAAATATGAATTTAATCTAAACTCGGGTGTTGAGTTGAGGAAAGAATGATGAATCCTTGCGCTTTGAGTCTCCAATGCTCTTCTAATCTTTCGAGGTCAAAAGTCCCTTCAAAAACATATTTTTAGTGTAATTATACCATGTAGGAGCAGGTCCAGACGAAACTACCCTTTTCAAGCCGAAACAGAAAAATACTCTGTAAAAATTGCACAGGCGCGACGGACAACAGCAAAATACACTGTCGCGCCGCCCCATGCACCACCCATGCGGTGCGACTGTGTAAATTTTCCAGAGTAAATTGTTTTCTTCATTTTTTTGATATCCAGACTCAGTCCTCGACCCCCAAACGCGTTCCCAGTTTAATTCCTTGGGCTTTTACTCAGATTTCAAAGCTCATAATTGTTTGATTTAGCTTCCGATTATCTTTTTAACTCGGAATCACTTCCTGAAAGGCATAAAATACGTAATAAGTGTAATTCACTATCATTTAAGCTCAAACCCACATAAAGTTCAGTAATTAGAGTGCAAAATACAGCTAAAACACGTGTTTCTAACATGCCATCAATAATGCTGATTTTGGATTTTGGAGTCAAGTTCGATATTGGTGCTTGAATGAAATTGATTTTGCTCCATGACCCTTTTGAGTCTTTTTTCCATTCTTGCTCTCTTCTCCTTGGCAGCATTGGCCTCCTCGGTTTTGGAGCATAAGCTAGCCTCCAAGTTATTAACTTGTTCCATGAAGGCAGACTCACGCTCGGCAGCAACAATCATTGTATCATGAAGTTCATTCCATTTAGCCTTTGCTTCCTTAAGTGTTTCATGTAGCTGGGCAGCTTCCTGGTTGTGAGCCATTCAGATTGCTGCAGCCGAGCCTCGAGATCATCTATTTGAGTAATTTTTTGCCTCCAACACCGGGAGGCACTCAACAAGCTGATTCTGTTGGCTAGAAGTTGATCTCATTCTGAAGTAAGCTCTTGCTTGTCCAAAATCAACCTTTTCATGCCCTCGAAAGCAAGAAGGTTGTCCTAAAAAAGATTAGATCTAAGGTTATTAGTGAAAAGTATAAATTGAAAGGAGATAGAAGAAAGTTAGATTGATACCTACACCGAATAGTGCATACTATTGTTTATCAGACACTCCGTAGAAAGAGAGTCCATTTTTCTCCAATCTTTATTTAATATCAACAGCTTCAGATAATTGGCAAGCTTCACCGGCTTGGAAAGTATATGGACTCATTCAAAATTGAAAGGATGACGCTTCATTTTCTATGAGGGTCTTGAGTGGGTATCGAGTAAGTATTTCCCAAATTTCCATGGTCGACCGACGGTAGAGAAGGGGCATTTTCTATTTGTTCAGCTGGGGTCGGTGGAGAAGAAGCAGCTGGTGTAGGTGGAGAGGTAGTTGTTATTAGATCAGAATTTGGCGGTGGAAGGAGGTCAGGGATTGAACTCCTTTGATCAGAAACAACTGTGGGACTTTAAAGCGATATGAAGTGTTTTCGGCTATTTC